GCTTTGAACTCACAATCCTCCTGCCTCAGCCTCCCAAACTACTGGGATTACAGGTGTGCACTGCTATGCGCAGCTTCATCACCTCCCCGCTTTTTTTGATACCGGGGATTAAACCCAGGGACACGCGACCACTGAGCCACATCCCCAGCCCTATTTTGTATTTTATTTAGAGACAGGGTCTCACCGAGTTGCTTAGTGCCTCGCTATTGCTGAGGCTGGCTTTGAACTCCTCCTGCCTCAGTCTCCCCAGCCCCTAGGATTACAGGCATGTGCCACTGCGTCTGGCTTCATCTTCACCTTTCCTATGGTAAAGATTATCTTCTTCCTGACGCAGCAGCCACTTCTAAGCAAACAACGTTAATGATAAGCATTTCTACTATGTGTTTGTTTTTCTTTTTTTGGCAGCCCAACAAGTGATTTGCAGAATTCTGGAAGACAAGACAAACACAGGTAAGGAAGTAGAAGCTCAGAGAATCTGTAAATTAGAGAAGGCCATCTAGCCTGGAAATTGAAGATTCAGTACTCAAACCCAGGTCTGCAGATGCCAATTCTGCAATGTTTGCTCTTGCCACAGCTTCCAGGGAACTCCTAATCTCTATCTGCAATCCCTGCCAGTCTCTGGAGCCCCAGACCTCTATTTTCAGACTCCATCCAGCACTGATATGGGGACGTCTGTCCAAATCTCAAAGTAAACATGCTTAACTAAATCCATCAAATGCCCCCTCCCAAACCAGCTCCTTTTGCTGACATGCTCATTTCCACTCAGGTCATTGTTACCCCAGTCACTCAACCCTAAAAACCTCACAGCTAACCTATCATTCTCTCTTCCTCCCTGCTCCCACTTCCAAGTTGTTATTAAGGTCTAGCAATAATTCTCCTGTATTGCTGCTTTTACATCCTTTCTTTTGTCCCCAATCCTTTTGTGAGCAGCTTAATCTTGGCTCTATCTCTCACCTCAACTATCAAAAAACCTGACTCCCTGACAGCTACCTTTCTTTCCTCTAATTGGTCCCGCAAAGCTCTCTATCCTAATTTTTAGATGTGATCATGTCACACTTCAGTGTCAGCCATCAATGGCGCCCACTACAAAATAAACCACAAATCTATCCCCTATAAACACTATCTGGCTCCCACTTATATTTCCAGGTCAACTCTCCTCCTTCCCAGGACAAACACTACTGCAGCCAGGCTGGTTTACACATAACTGTCAACATTTCCCATGTGACTTCCCTGCCCACCTTCTCCCCTGCCTAATAAAAATCCAATTTCAAGGAATGGATAAGTCCATCCTCTTTTATGGAGCCTATCCTAGCACACCAGTCTTGGGGAACATGCTTTCTGTTGATCAGCTTACTTTCTACCACCCAGTCATCATTTGCTACTTTAAGGGCTCAAGTAGATCTAATGCCAATAGAAGGCAGGGTCTATATGAGGGCCTCAGTACCCAGGCAGCCTTGCATTTAAGTAGGAGGTACTCAAGTATTTATTGGTTGATTATATAGTTTCCAATTATCATTTTGTGTGATGCAAATAATAATAATAATAATACACACACACACACACACACACATACATAAATTAAGTGGTTAATTTGAGGTATTATAGTCTTTGGGAACTAATGTTTTCTTGGCAAAAATGAAAGAACCAAACCTCAGCATCATTTTTCTGAATTCCCAAATACATACATCTGGTGCTTAGTTTTCACAGTATGAAAAGCTTCTATAGACTTACCCTTCCCACATCAATGCCTCCAACATTTCCAAACTAGCTGGTTAGACTGGAAAATATACTATTCATATTTGACGCTAGCCTTGTTAGGTATCTCCAAACCCAAAGAAAACAAGGGTCAATGCTCCTCACAAGAAAGACATATGGCTCTGTATACTCTAGAGGTAGAATACCTCCCTTCCTGTGTTACGCCCCACCTGACCTTCACCAATGCCCCCCACCTGACCTTCCAGCATCATCGGTGTTGGCCACTCAACATTTAGAAACAGTTCAGCAGTTGGCTGAACTTTGCCCACCAGTCACTCTGGAGCCCAAACACTGACCCCAGTGGTAGAACTGGAACTTAATTTGGCTCACTTTGATGATTCTCTTTCATTCACAGATGATCACTGCTCTGCTTCTCCCTGTCTTTTCACCAGATCAAATGCTATAGCAGGCCAGAGTTCCTGCTGTTATTGCATCAGCCCAAGCTGTAAGGTTATGCTGTCTGACTGGGCTTCTCAAAGGCTAGCTGAGGATGTAAACCAGCTTTTGGAAACAGGGCAAGTACTTTTGGTATTTACAGTCATGACCACACATCTACCCGCAAGCCTTCAAGAGGTCAGGCCAGAGATTGCAGGTCAGCAGTTTGCAAAGATGCAATTCTATTAGCAGATTCATAAGAAAACAGCACCCAAAAAGGGAATGAAATCCAGGCAAGGAGAACATTCACATCAAGCATTCTAGTGCTCTTATAAGGCCTGCCAACTGGTGAACTGTTTCTAAATGTTGAGTGGCCAACACAGATGATGCTGGAAATGTATATTCCATGAAAAATCAATCCCTGATAGTGACTGCCAGAGGCTGGGGGTGGGGTGTGTGCAGGAGGGAGGTGGGTGTGGCCAGAAAAGAGCAATGTGAGGAATCCCAGCAGTGATACACTAAGCCACACATATGAAAAAAACTGTGGCAAACTCAACACACACACAATTATTAGCAAAACAGGGCAATCTGAGTAAAATTGGCAGATTGCATCAACATCAATGACCTATTGCAATATTATGGTATAGTTCTGGAAGATATTACAATGCAGAGGTGGGACTGGGTAAAGGGAATATAGAGTACTACCATTTCTTACATGTCTGAATCTATAATTACCTCACAACATAAAGTCAAATTAAAATAAGGTAAAGTTCAAAATGTAGCCCTCTACAATATACAGAATATGAAAGAATGCTGACTTATGACCACAGTAGTTACAAATAAAAGATGTAAAGCTAAAAAAGTTTGATCCCTGAATCTGGATTTCCTAACAGAGCTATCATTCAGGTGAGACCACTAAGAGCCTCATATCTACCCAAGGATACCCCCAAATGAACCTCTGACTTATGTTTACCCAGAGAGATTTTAGCCCCCTTCCTGTTAATCACATGGTGGTATCCTGTCCTTGAGAAAACTCAGTAGTATAAGAGACTAACTGGCAATTACCATACCAAAGCTCATTTTAAACTCAGAGTCCAAATACTTAGTGCTGGATCTACAATGATCTCTGCCATTTTGTATTTGCACCCATTCACTCTATGCTAAATACACATATCACTGGAAAAATGTGCTCATGCCCACTTTCACAAAAAGGTTTATTCATCATTTCTTTTCATTAGACTTTGCAAGGAGTTTCTGCTAAGGCCAGAAAGGGTAAAAATCCTAGGTACTCTGTTTTCATGCAGAAGGTACCATCCCTTCCCTTCTTTACAAAACTGTGACATCTAAAGCCAAGCAAGGGCTGGCAGCCTGGCATTTCAATTATCATGTTAGTTCTCATCACACTGCTTGAAGGGGGAAACAAGGAACTGTAATTCCTTTCCAACTCTGCAATGAAAGCAGAACAATGTCTTTACTCACCAATGTCATTGCTGCGATCCGAGAGATCCTTGTCCAGGATGCTGGCTAGCGTACTGCCCGTCAATTCAATCTTTGGACCGTCACCCCTACGTTAAAAACACAAGTCCAGACATTTAATAATTGGTATGTGTTCTCGTCATTCTGTGAGCTTTCTTGCTGGATACATGTTAAGGAGGGTGCTGTGCATGGGGCAAGTGGCACTGTTGCCTGTGACGGAGCCACAGGGAGCCAATGAGCTGTCCAGCCACATGGGCCGTGGTACAATCTGGGAATGGACTGGATAACCCCCTCTCCTGCACATAGACTCGAAGATGGCTGTTTTAATGACTGCTCCCCAACGCACCTTCAGCCACAAACCCTCCCTCTGGATACACAGTGTGCAACAGAGGCCCGCTCCCGCCCCATGGCCAAATAAGCACTGGCAAACTGGGAGCTTCCCTTTTAAGGAACATGGAATTTAGCCAATGCTGCTTGTCAAAGGTCAGCTACTTTTAACCTTGAAGAAAAGGTTCTCTGGCCTGAGGCTGAGGCACCAGCCAGGCTGTTGACAGGCACAAGGTGTCGAGTTGAGATCTGGCAGCCTGAAAGCTGGCATCAGGGCATAAGTCTGTAAAATTAGATGGCTCCTGGGTGGGTGCCCCTGTGCCCATCAGGACACGAGTGATTTCCTGTATCTGGGCTGGAAGCAGCACATGTTTGGGATGGGAACAGGCTTTCAAGACAATGAGAAAGAAACCCAGCTTCCTCATACACTAGCACAAGGTTCTTCCAAATTCCTCTAAAAGGGCAGTTCTTTGGCCCTCTCAGGGAGATGAGCCCTGAACAAGATTATCCAAGGGCTGTGATGGCAGTGAAACTTAGATTCTTGCCCATAAAATGAGAAGGAGAAGCCGAGCAGTTGTTCCCAGGAAAGCAACAGAAATAGTCCATCTCATAGCTCCTGAAGGTCACCATGGCCTGAAGTTCAACTACACAAGGAGGAACAATCACTCAACAAGCACTTGACAAATACCTACTGTGCTGGGGGTTTGGAGAGGGCCAAGTCAGGTGGTACCTACTCTGGAAAGGAGCATGGTCTAAATGGGAGAGACAGACAAACAACCACAAGCCCATATGGTATAGGCATGCACAATACAGATATGCCACAGTCCTGGGTTTGTTCAGAGGATCTGTATGGCCCCAGATAGAGGGCATACAAAAGAGACAGCATTATAGCTGGGCCTTGGAGAAAAAGGGAAAGAGGACATATTTGTAAAAGGCATAACTGAGCAGGGACTCAAAGGTAGATGAGGGTACACCTGTGCCCAGGGATCCTTAGAAGCAAGAGGAAAAAAGCTGGCAAGGTTGGAGAGGGCCAGGCTGTGCTGGGTGGGTGTGATAGAGTCTGGTGTGTCTGGTATGTCCTGGTGTATCTGGCAAGTCCTGGAAGTAGTGGGTGGTGGAGGGAAGGCTGCAGCAGAAGACCTGTAAATCTGGAGGGCAAGGAGGGTGGTGGGAGCAGGGCTGGGCCCAAGGGCATGGTCTCTATTAAGAGCAATATCACCGGAATACTATTCAACGAGTGTGCACTATGGGAATTACTGGGCCTTTCAGAGCTAGGTTGAAATACAAGTTTAGGCAGAGAATGATCTACTGAACTTGAAAAGGCGAAATAACTTGGGCTTCATAAAAGGACCTTTGTTTCTTGCCTCACCCAATTTCCTTTGACTGTGGAGCCCCCCAAAAATGGTTCTGTTGCAGGCTCTTTCTTCATTCCCCTGGCCACTACAGCTCAGGGCCACTGAATCAAAGAGATCCTGAGCCAAGTGAAGGGGTGGGAAGGAGAAATACATTTCAATGCATTTTATTGTCAGGGCTCTGGCATCCAGTAATTTGAAGGTCCAGTCAATCCCCCATATGAGTGTGTTCTGCATCTATGGATTCAACCAATCTAAGACTGTATAACTCAACAGCAATAAAACAAATAATCTGATTTTTTAAATGAATGAATGAACGACCTGAATAGAGATTTCTCAAAAGAGGAAAAATGACCAACAGGCTTATGAGAAAGATATTCAGCATCATTAATTGTTAGGGAAATGCAAATCAAAACCATAATATCTCATCCTATCTCAGTTAGAATGGCTATTATCAAAAAGACAAAAAATAAGAAATGCTGGCATGGACATGGAGAAAGAGGAACTGTCATATACTATTGATGGGAATGTAAATTAGTGCAGTCACCATGGAAAACAGTACGGAGGTTCCTCAAAAAACTAGAAGTAGAACTATCATATATACAGCCAAGTGGAATGAAACTGCTATGTCAAAGAGACATCTGTATTTGCATGTCTATTGAAACACTATTCATAATCAAGATATGTAATCAACCTTTGTGCCCATTGATGGATGAATATATAAAATATATGTGGTAAACACACACACACACACACACACACACACACACACACACACACACACTTGTACACAATGGAGTATTATTCAGTCATAAGAGGAATGAAATTCTGTTTTCCAGCCTGCGAAGGGTGTGGAGGGGGCAGAGGTGGGAAGAGGAGGATTAACAGAGTACAGGAGTGCAGTTAGATAAGAGGAATTACTTCTAATGTCTTTTTTCGTGTGTGATGGGGATTGAACCCAGGGGCACTCAACCACTGAGCCACATCCCCAGCACCACCCCCCTTTTTTTTTTTAAGATACTGGAGATTGAACTCAGGGGCACTCAACCACCAAACCACATTCCCTAGCCCTATTTTGGATTTCATTTAGAGACAGGGTCTCAATGAGTTACTTAGAGCCTCACCATTGCTTAGACTGGCTTTGAACTTGAGATCCTCCTGCCTCGACCTCCTGAGCAGCTGAGATTATAGGCGTGTGCTACCGTTCTTGGCTCCCAGTTCATTTTTATATTCTATTTAGAGGATCTCACTGAGTTGCTTAGGGCCTTGCTAAGTTGCTGAAGCTGGCTTTGAACTCGCAATCTTCTTGCCTTAGCCTCCCAAGCCTCTGAGATTATAGGCATGCACCACTGCACCCAGAACTTCTAATGTTCTATAGCATAGTAGGATAACTAAAGTTGACAAAAATTAATTGAATGTTTCAAAATAGCTAATAGATTTTTAATGCTTTCAACACAAAAAATTGATAAATGCCTGAGGTGGTAGATATGCCAATTACTGTGATCTGATCATTACACTTTTTATATGTGTATTGAAATATTGCACTGCACCCCATAAATATATAAAATTATGACTTGTCAATTAAAAACAAAAATATTGAAAAAAGAAAAAATATTCAGTATAAAATTGCATCTGTATTGAACACAAACTTTTTTGTCTTATCATTCATTATTCCTTAAACAACACAATTTAACACCTATTTTCATGGAATTTACATTATATCAGTTATTATAAATAATCTAGATATGATTTAAAGTACAAAAGAGGATATACATAGGTTATATGGAAATAGAATACCATTTTATATAAGTGACTTAAGCATCCAAGAATTTTGGTATCCTTGGAGGGGGTTCTTAGAAATGATCCCCCCACAGGTACTCGGGGATAAAATATTTTTAAAATGCAGAATTATTAGTAGGAAAGGATCATTATCATTTTAAAATGTCTTTCTTTCCCCAAATAGAATAGAATAATTTCTTGAGAGTCTTTAAATATTATTATCTGTTAGCCACAGGGCTTGATGGATTTGGTGGTTTCATCCTCCAAACTCACAGACTCAACTCAAGTTATACTCACAGCTAGACAGTCCTAACCATTTTGGAACACACCAAGAACCAGAACTTACACATATCCTGCCTGGGGAGAAAGGTCATTCAGACAGTGGGACTAGTTAATTCCACTAGGCTGGGTTTGTTGTTGTTGTTGTTTTCCTTGTTTGTGTTTGTTTTTTGCTTGCTTTATCTGGTCAAGAGGGAAGATGGTTTGAGGTGACATCCTGGTGGGAGGCTCAGCAGTAAATAAGAGGGACTATCGGAGAGAAGGAATTTTGCTCCTATGTTAATCACATACATCTCAGAACAATGCAGCTGCTTCTGAACGCGTGGTTTAGTTGTGTATTCTGGTAACCATGGATCTTGAAGAAGCTGTGTTTCTCTTTGATTTGACAGCTGAAACCTTCCAGTCCAACATGAGCCT